TTATAATGATGTTTTTATTTGGACTCAAATTTTCTTGTCTGGTCCGTTTCAGCTTCGTCTGATCTAGTCTGAAGTGATTTGGTCTGCTCTAGTAAATGTCTAGTCTTTATGTATTTTAAAACTGTCCAAATCTGACCTGATCTGTTAAAGTCTGTCTGGTTCGATCTAGTTTATTTAAGTGTAGACTGATCTGAGACTGAAATAAGTCAAAGTAAAAATATTTTAAGTTTACCTGGTGGGATGTATCCTGATTGTATTGCTCATGTAATTCTGGCATGATGATTATTAACGAAGTTATCTTTTGCCAAAAAAAATTACCGGGTGAGAACGAAGGCTTAAGCCCTTTTCAGGTGTGTGTATATACAAATACTCATGATGATCTTTAGAGGTAAAACAAAAAACATGATCGCTACTATATCTATCCTAAATTAAATTGGTCGTCTTAATAAAAGAAAAAATTGATTGGTCTTTGAATTAACTTATGCCCCCAATAACTTTACTTTCTCGATCCGCCACTGGACATTGCTTTTTGGGGTTGAAAAAAATCGTATAAAAAGAGAATCTATTTATATTATGTGTATCTAAGGATGTTATTTGTTAAAGTAAAATTCTCGATTATTTGAAAGTTAAAACTAGTTTAAAACCTTGAAATCGATTAAATAAAGCTGTATAAGTTTGTTTAAATCCATTTTAAGCTTTAAAAAGGTTATGAAAAAAATTAAAACTCCAAAAGAATTAGGAGGGATTTTATTAAATAAAGCTATAGAAGTTCGAACCATCATCTATTTTTTTGGACAAATCATATATAAAATATAAATATTCAACACCACTAGAACAAATTATAAAAATGAAGACAAACTTCATTAACATATACTCCAGAGTCCAGATACATTAATGCAAGTCTAAACAAACTATGCATAAATATATACGCCATATTGTATGTATATACTTCATATAATTTTTTTTTTATTTTCTTTTATCATCTACTTCATATAATTTATACTACACACTCTCGCACACACATTGGTGTTGCAAAAACAGGGGAAAAATATATATTGGGGTTGCACTAGTAGAAAAAGGGCCTACTAGGTCTAAATTTGAAATTTGATTTTTTTTAAAACTCCTACATCATGTACGTACACTTACTAGCTAGGGAGAAAAGGAGAAAAGCAGTGTTGGAGAATACGGTATTCAAGAGAGATTATATTGATAGATGCTAGTAAAAGTAAAAGACCCTACGGTAACATCAAGTATTGATATCTTGAAAAAGAATATTTTCTTTTTAACTTTTGAATTCTACTTCATAGAAATGGAGAGAAACAAAAAGAGATGACCAATAAAGTGAGATGCACTAAATGATGACTATGTGATGGGTAGCCGCCTTGGTAGGCAAAAAGGAGAGATGAAGAAAAAAGAATATAATACATGCCATTAAGAGTACTTTTTTAGACATATGTCATAGTTTTTTTCATTTTCCCACCATTGTCCCACACCGAAAATCAAAGATGCTGTATAGATTTATAAATTAATACTACAAACAATCGGTAACAATAAAAAGATTAACTCGAATAAAGTATCAAGTGGTAGTAATATTTAAATTTAATATTACAATCTAATTCAGCCTATTTTGTGTCCAAGTTGGGGACATGCTAATTTATTCAGAAAAATAATGTCAATAATTTAACATGTAACCAACTTTAACATGAAATAATCAAATTGAGATTGTAATATCATATTGTACTTCTACTTGAATTAAATTTATTTTTATGTATTCAGATTATGAACACTGCTTTTAACTAGAGCTTGGGTCTTAAAAAAATTGAGTTACTTTTGACTATTTAGAAATGCGTCTTTAGTCGAACCCCGACCTTCTCCTTTCAACTAATAATATTGGTCCCGATCGAAAGAGGACACTAGTCTATAATCTATATATGAATATATCACCTTAACACAAAGGAGACGTTTACTTCGCTGATAAAGTGCCACTTAAAAAGCCGCTTACTAACCAAAAGAAGTGTTTAAAGTGCCCCTTACTAAGTATATCATCCCCATGTATTAATTAAGCGGCACTTTAAGCTATTTTCAGTTTCCGAATTTACCACTACCCTTACCTTATTGTTACACCCCACTACCCGCTACCCCACCCCCGGCCAACCCTATACCCCACCCCATCCCACCTCATACCCCTTTTCCCTACAACTACCCTACCCCACCCCCGTACCTCTTTTCCCTACAACGACCTTACCCCACCCCCTACCACATGCCCCCACCCCAATCCATAGCTACAGCCACCCCTACCACCTCGACCCCACCCGACCCACCCGACCCTCTAGCTCGGCCCACCTCGATCCTGACCCCACCCTACCACCATCTACCCCTCCCTCCCCCCCGCCCCTACCCTACTTACCCCGACCCCTGACCCTACCCCCTACCTCGGCCCCACCCCTGATCCCGACCCCACACTAATCGCCATCTACCCCTACCCCCACCTACCCAGACCCTGACCCAACCCCACCCCACCCCTACCCTACCCCCTACCACATGCTCCTACCTCGGCCCCACCCCAATCCCGACCCCACCATACCGCCCATCCTACCCTACCCCACCCCTGCCCCTAACCCCCTACCTCGGCCACACCCTAACCGCCATCCTACCCTACCTTACCTCGACCCCACCCTACCCACCTTACTCCGACCCACCTACCATACCTCGGCCCCACCTTGATCCCGACCCCACACTATCGCCATCTACCCCTACCCTACCCTGACCCCACCTCCCCTAATCTACCTTACCCTGACCCCGACCCTACCCTGCCCTTACCCTTAACCATGACCCTAATCCACTCCCTACCACTTGCCACTACCTCGACCCCAGCCCGCCCACCCCTAGTCCCTCACCACCTTACCACCCCCCCACACACATGCCCCCTACCTCAGCCTCACCGATACCAACCCCACCTTACTTCACCCTACCCCACCCACCCCTTATCGTGGTAAGGGTAGGTAGGGGTCAAGGGTGTGGAATTGGGGGTAGGGTAGGGGTAGGGGTGGGGTACGTGGGGGTATAGGGCGGGGTAAAGGGGTTAGGGGTATGGGTACACGTACGAGGTGACCCCGCATATTATATTATATACGTAGTACTTGTGTTCATGAATGTTTGTGCGTCTATATATGTGTAGGGTTATTTTGGACATTTTAATGTTAAACGGTGTTTTAAACCTTTTAAAGTAAACATGATCTTACAACATTGTTTATTTTATGTGCCGCTTATTAACGCGGGTCTTAATAAGCATCGTTTAGTAACCCGTGAAGTAAACGTGTCTTAAGGCTATTTACAGTGATGTGGAGGAGGGCACCAGGACCTCATTATCCCTAATAACCAGGACCTCATTATCCCTAATAACCACTGAGTGCAAGTGTTTTCCGCTAGTCCCCTTGATATGTTTTATATTTCTTAAAAAAATCAGTAATGTAATGCAATTATTCAAGAAATTCCTTTCATTATTGTGAGGATGTGATCGCTCTACCCTACTAGACAGTCTAGACACTATGGAGTAGACACCAAATGGTCTTACGTACGTAATTGAAGAACTGGTCCAAATATACATTAATCGCATTACATTATAAAAATTAGGGGAAAATAAATAATATACCCCGAACTTTGCCTTAGTGTGAGCTCCCCACCCCGAACTTGTCCTAGTTTAAAAAATACCCCCAACTTTATTTATTTAAATTTTTAATTTGTACCATATTTTAATTAACAAATAATATTTCTCAAATTATAATATGTTAATTAGATTTAGTTGGCAAAAAATATTAATTAACATATTTTTTGTACTTAAAATAGAGATTTGAAGTTATTTAATCAATTCGAAAAGCACACATTAATTTGGGAATCACACATCTTTTTTGCCAACTAAATCTAATAAAAAAATTACAATTTGAGAAATATTATTTGTTTATTAAAATATGGTACAAAAATATTAAATAAATAAAATTGAGGGTATTTTTTAAACTATGACAAGTTCGGGGTGGGGAGCTCACACCAAGGCAAAGTTCGGGGTATATTATTTATTTTCCCCTAAAAATAAATAACGGAATTGATCGACACGAATTTGGCACGGATTGATCGGTAATTTCATGCCAAAATATAATAGCTCGTGACAAAACGCGGTTGGCATGTATTTGTCATCTCCCTGCCAAAAATCCCTCTAAAATACATGTCAATCCCTGAAGAAATAGTAATTTGTGATATCTTCATCATGAAACAATAGGAAGTCCAATTGGCGTAGGGACCAATTTCGGTCAAGTGCAAGAGCAAGTATAATACGTATGGTGGCCGGTTTGGTGACAGGACTAAATGTTTCAGAATAGTCGTGACCAAACTGCTGCAAAAATCCACGAGCCACAAGACGGGCTTTGAAGCGTGCAATGGTACCGTCAGCATGACGTTTTATGCGAAATAACCATTTACATGAGATAGGTGGATGACCCGTAGAGGGAACCAAATCCCACGTGTGGTTTCGCTGTAAAGCAGCATGTATTTTATGAGATAGACCGCAGTCTGAAATGCATATGGCCAGTAGTGAATAGGAAGTCCAGAAAAATGAAGTAGCGCAAGGCCGGTGTCAACGATGTGACGATGGCGGCGTTCCGCTAAACCATTATGTTCTGGAGTATGGGGTGGTGAGGTAAAATGGGAAATACCATGTTCACTCAAATACGGTTTTAGTTTGATGAATTCACCGCCGTTGTCAGAAAATAATGAGATAATGCGACTGTGAAAATATTTTTCTACAAGTCGATGAAATTGTGGAAATATATGTGACACATCAGATTTCTTTTTAAGGGGATAAAGCCATATATAACGTGAATAAAAATCCACAAAAATGACATAATAACGATAGCCATCAATAGAAACATCACTTGTACTCCAAACATCCGTATAGATTAATTCAAGTGGCTTAGTGGCCGACATAGAATTAGTAAAAAATGGAAGTTTAGTACTCTTATTGATGTAACAAGATTCACAATGAGTTACAGAACTCTTAGGACACGAAACATGATTTGTATTTTGACGAACTAATAAACTGTAAATGTGACTTGAAGGATGACCAAATGTGTGATGCCAGATAGATGAGTCACGGCATTGAGTAACATGTGCCTGAGGTGACATCATAGGTGCGTAATAGACATCAAGATGGTTCTCCCCTCGCATGAGTGACGCCCCCGTGGTCCGATCCTTAACAAGAAAATGTGAATCAAAAAATTCAACAGAAACATGGTTAGTTTGACATAATTTAGCAACTGACACAAGATTTTTGCGTAATTGAGGTACACACAGAATATGGGTAAGGGATAAAGGACGATTAGGGGTGGGTAGGGTGGTTTCTCCAGTGTGAGTAATAGTAAGTGACTTACCATCGCCAAGCTTGACCTCGTCAGGACCACCATAATCAGTGTATGTTGGCAGATTGGCAGCATCAGAAGTGACATGATGAGAGGCCCCGGTGTCAAATAGCCACGGTTGACCTCCCGGTGCAGCAGAAGTCATGGTATTATGAACCGCCGGTGAGGTTGCAATTGAGATATTATTGTCACGAATAAAACGTTGTAATTTGCGACAATATTTTACCTCATGCCCCACGTTGTCACAAAAACGACACACAGGACCATTGGATGACCTATTTGCATGACCTTGATATGACCCACGTCCACGTCGTGATGATGAGGGGCGTGAATCACCATGATAACGACGTTCAGGTTGAGGCCCACGTGGAAGCATCTGTGTCGCATTAGCAGTGGGCAGTAAAGAGTGAGTGGCAGCAACCTGTTCATTGTGACGTTTTTCTTGCTCCAACAAAATGTCCTGAAGTTGTGAGAGAGGGAGGGGAGTTTCCCGAACACGAACAGCAGATAGAATGTCATTATATTCTGAACCTAAGCCATTTAGAATGCCAATGACTAGGTCCTCGTCAGTCACGGGACTCTGGGCGAGTGCTAATGATTCGGCAAAGGCATGCATTTCGGCAAGGTAGGCGAGTATGGGGCGAGCACCTTTCGTAGTACGGGCCATTTGAGTTTTGAGAGAAATAATTCGGCCTCGAGATGTGCTTGCATAAGTGAGAGTAAGCTTCTCCCACGCTTGACGCGCTGTGATGGCGGAAGAGATGAGTGGCTGGATCGTCTCGGAGCAACTTCCGATGAGCGCACTAATAATTGTTTTGTCCTGCCGGTACCATATCGTATAACATGGATTTGTTTGTGTTTTGGCCGGATCAGTGAATTGATTCGGCGAAAGAAGTGTACCATCGATGTAGGAATCAAGACCAAGGCCAACTAAGGCATTATGTACTTGACATTTCCACACCGGAAAGTTGGATGCCGTAAGCTTAATCGGAAAGTGTGTAGCAGCAGTAATGGAAATAACAGAGGTAGACTCTGTGATAGTCATCGTGAGACTGAGAAGAAGAAAAAAAAATGATGTAAAAGCTCTTTAGAGATTGGCTCTGATACCATGAAGAAATAGTAATTTGTGATATCTTCATCATGAGCAGAGCTCCGTTTAAATATACAATTCATACTATCGGATAGAGCTATCTAACTGTATTGCTAATTCTACGTAGTGATAAGACCAAAGCTAACAGCTAAAGACTAATACGGCTAATATGATGTACACTGGTAGACTAAATTATGTAACAATAATATGTACAAAATAATCATTGCCTAATAATCCCATTATCTTTTTGTAGTGTTAGAATAACTAATGATAAAATGAGTAATGTTAATTAAATGAGCCAGCTTGAAACTACAAAAACATATGGTCAGAAATCAGAATAGTGCCATAGGCTACGTCGCATGTACACCGTAGCCTCAATGGTATTTCTCGATCTAAGGCCTAAGGGGCACTAGGCCAGGGAACTTTGTTTTATATTCGGTTTCGAAGGAATGCAATATTTTTTTTACAATAAAGATGCCACACGTATATACACGAAGCTGGGCTCAAAAGAAGCATGACCATTCATGCCAGGAGAGAAAATCAAGGAACCAAACCTGTTGTCTTTATTGTAAGGCAAAAAGCAGATATATACTGAGATTTACTCCGTATTATCTAATTAAGCAGCCATATCTGTCTCATTTGTTCATGAGTGCTGGCGTAGCCGCGTAGGGTACCCCTCATGCATGAGGTCCCAACGTAACCTTATTTTCATGTGCACATGCCCTTCGTTGGCTTCTAGCCCCTCCCAAAACCACCCCAATTTTGTATTCTATCATCCAGTTAGATAGTATAACTAATCAATTTAATTTCGCCCGTCTTTAATTGGCTTTGTTTACACATAAAATTTCTCATAGGACAGGCACTCCTACATCATGAGCTTTGTATTTTTATAATACATATATGGGTATATGGATTTTGTCCTTGTTGTAACAAAATTAAAGTTCATATTATTATTATACTACGTACTTTATATACAGATATTTATATACAGATCCCAATCATCCAGATATTTATTAAGTTATTACCCTAAATAGGAGTAAAATAATACAAAATTTCCTAAATAAGAGTTATTGTTGATTTATTCCCTAAATAGAAGCTTTTAAGTTGACTGCCCGTTCACTTTTCCAGAATTTCCCCTCCCACATTTAACGAACAATTCTTCCTCCATTATTATCACACGTAACAACTTAGCTGTCAGGCACAACCCACCCTTTCCCAAACAGTCACCGCATAGACCCACCCTTTCCCATCTCCCCATCCTCCTACAGTCCTACACACAAAATTAAAGCATCATCCATCTCTTTCTTCCTTTCACATGGAGTTTGGAGCTCCATTTTTCTCCCCAACTCCTACGGACGGCGGACTATGAACGGCGGTTATTGAAGGTAAGATCTATTCTTCTTCTACTATTCTTCTTCTTTCTTCTTCTTTCCTCTTCTTCTTCTTCCCCTTTTCTTATGTCACCTTTTGCTTTGTTCGACCGTAAATCCCTTTGCTTTCTTATTTTTGTAGCATGACCTTGTTTTGTTCTTTCTTTTTTAGATCCGAATTTTGAATTGAGTTTTGTTTTTTTTTTCTTTTCTTTTCTAGATCCGTATGTCAAGTTTTTTTTGCTTCTTCTATCTTTTAATTCTCTTTCAATTTTTCTTTCACCTTTAATATGTTCTTTTACCTTTTTACTTTATTTTTTACATTAAGTTAATAACTTTTACTTTCATGCCAATAATTTTTTTTAATTCTTCAAATTAGTTTTATAATTTGTGTTCCAAATTTTCACAAGCTCTTTTAATTTATGACATTAAAATGAAAATGTTACTCCTTTGCAAATAATGCCATGTTTGATTACGTGAAAATATAATTTTGAACTTAATGCCATTTTTTGCTTCTTCTCTCTTTTAATTCTCTTTTATAATTTTTATTCCAAATTTTCATAATCGCTTTTAATTTATGACATTAAAATGAAAATATTACTTCTTTGCAAATAATGCCATGTTTGATTACGTGAAAATATAATTTTTACACTTAATGCCATATTTGTGGCATTAAGTGAAAAATAAAACAATACCAATAATGCCATGTTTTTTCATATATAAAAATGTTATTTTTGCACATATTGCCATTTGTATGACACTAATTATATAGAGATGACAATATTATTTCCATGCAAATCCAATATTTATTATGCCATCGAAATGTCAATTTGACATAAAATCCATATCCTCTATTTTTATATAAATCTTATTTAAATGATATTCAAATGGTCAAATGATATTTAAATCAATTTTCCAGATCTGAGATTTGTGATATTAGAGACAAAGGTGTGGTGCTAGAAGAGGTGTGACACTAAATGAGGAATTAGTGGCATGGGTGGGGATCTGGAAGCGGCGGAACTGGCGGTAGAGGTGGTGGTGGAGGCGACAGTGATGTTGATGGCTGCGTAGTTGACCGACGGCGACTAGCGGCGGAGACATCTGGTAGTTGCGACGCCGACGGGAGTGGCAGTAGTGACATGTGGTGGTGCTCGGCGGTGGCGGCAGTGGTCACATGTGGCGGTGCTCGGCGGCTAGCGGCAACTGACGGGCCTGGCGGCAATGATTGGTGCGGGTCAAGACCCCTGGATGTTGTCGACAGCAACTGGGGTCGTCTTAAGGGACAATACGTTGTTGTGTATTGTTTATTAGTCTATTTTTAAATGAATTGTAGTATTCATTAAGGGTACATCTGTCCATTCAATGCTTTTTACTCCTATGAAACTACACGTATGATTAAACTCCTACTTTTGCACTTTTGTTATGATTTACTCCTAGATAGGGAATTAACTCATATTTATTTTAGGTATAAAGTTCATAACTTACAGTCTTACACTACTTTATAAATTCAAAACATCAATTACATTTGATTGCAAATAAAGAGAACATATTTTTCTTTCCATGGAACAATGTGAATGGTGCACACATAGCATAATTAGAGAAATATACACATAAAATTAAACCGATGACATTTTGCTCTCTTTCTTTTAATGTTTTCCCCCCAATTTTTCGTCTTTTATGTACAATGTCAACTATGGTGTCTGTATCTACATGTTTTGCTTGACATTATTACAGCAAAATTTACCAAAAACATATATGACCATTGAGAAAAAGAGAGATTCTATTTATTACCTTTTATGTGCCTATCTTTGCAGGGGCGGATCCAGGAATGAGGGGTGGGGTGGGCTAAGCAGTAAAATTTTTTGTTGCTGCACACAAAAGGTTTAGATTAGGATTGTTGTCAAACTGAGATGTTTTCGAACTACTCGATTTCAAACGTGATTTTGAATTTAATTTAACCACCCGAGTTTAACGAGCTTCGAACTTGAAAACATGCTAGATTTTGAGTTCGAATAGTTATTCAAGCCGAGTTCGAGCTTAGTGATGTTTGGTTCGATTCGGCCTCTAGCAGAAAAAATTATATACTTCTAAAATGTAAACGTTTTAGTAGGATTTTATAAATTTTTTAATAAAATATTTTAGTATTTCAAAATTCTATTAAACTTTTTAATTCTCTTAAAACTTTTTAAATCACTTTTTAATCTTGAATTGTGTAATAAATAAATCATTCTCTAATCTTTAATTATATCTTTAATCATTATAAATTTACAATGAATAAACACTATTTTATTATATACTGCAAAATTCAATTAATAATCAAATTGATTTACAAAACTAAAAACAACAAAACTAAAACACAGCTATACAATTGCTCCAGACCTTCTGTGTTAATCAAATATTCAAATAGATTAACAATGTTTCACAAAATAATACCATACTTAAGAATTAATATAGACATCAAATCAATTACAAAATCTTAAAGTATACTATCAGCTGAGTGTGTGCATTATTTTGTTATTATTAATTGTTTAGTTAACTAATTAGTTGATGGATCTCAAATGTTACGTAATATACTTTTAAAAAGCTAGATTTGGACTAACATGTTAAGGTTGTTTAGTGGATGGGAAGCCACACACCATTCACCCAACTCTGGATCAATTCCTGCGTGCGCCAGTTCTTGAGGTCTACTGGGTTTAATTTTTAGGTGGGCTAGGATTAATTCTGGGATGGGCTGGACTTAAATATTATACCTATACTACTTTAAACCAAAAAAGTTGGGCTGGGCTGGAGCCCACCCCTGCCCTAACTATGATCTGCCCCTGTATCTTTGTAATGTCTCATGTGCGCTCCCCAATCCCCATTACATCTTTATATTTCAAATCTATTGTAATAGCTAATGGGGTATAAGGTACTAGAACCCTCGGCCCACATACTCACGTCACTTAGAGATAGGCCCAACGGGCCTCCAAAAGCCCAACAAGCAAGCAATCACCCCTCGGACGAGACATCGCTCAGCCAAAGGCCGTGACAGCGTACATGAAGAATATAATGGATTACTGAAGAAACCGACCTGAAAAAGACTATGTCATACATACGACCCCGGCCCTCAGCAGGTGCCCCCGGAACACCGAGGGCGGAGCCCTGGGCCCCGTCTTCAAATCCATCAATCGGTCTTCTCCGAATCTCTGGTACTTAGTAGACGCGTTTAATTAATGCACCACCACATGCCCAATTCTACGTCACTCCGGAGTTTTACCCCAGGGATTAGCTTACACCGTACGTACATTTAATCCATTTAGCATTCATGATTAATACAAATAGTCTCCTTTTCTTAGTGAAGGAGACTATTAGCTCTGCCTTTGATTAATGCAGTACTCCTTCTCTCTAAGTCATTAGCTCTGCCTTCTTTCTATATAGTGCTAGTGATCTTTAGACATAGCTATCAATAACAATGGGCGTCTTGTAGTGACGCTTTCCACAAGTGGCAAACAGGTTGAGTGTGGGTGCTTTTGAAGGCCATCATCACCGGCCTCTCGCCTAAGGTTAATTTTAAGTGTCATTATTGATAGAGGCCGTAATGTTCTTCACACCGGAATAATTTATAAGATTTCAAGCTTCTCTCTAACAGGTTGATCAGATGAATATCGGATCTTAACATGGTTGAAAGCAACACCAATTCATAACCATTATATTGTGTGACCCCTTTGAAAAATGAAGGCGATTGTATGAGAAAATATTAAGTTATAAAGTAATATGGAGTATATTGGATCTTAAGCTACTCCTAATAGCAAATTAGCTTTTTAGTATGAAATTTCGAGTCTAAACACTAAGTGGTCTCTAAAATTCGACACCGCTTACACTAGTATGCTAGTGTGACAAAGCGGTCCAGCTTAGCTGGTCGTCGACTCACTCTCCCATGTGCGAGGTTCCGGATTCAATAATCAATGGAGTGAGTACGTTTGAGTCCAGTTGACCTCGGGGGCCCCAGCCCTTTCCCCCGACCCCCAAGGTAAAAAAACAGTATGCTAGTGTTCGGCGTCGTCATTGTATGTGTAGTCACCCTTAATGTGAAAGAAAATTTAATCTGTTGATATTTATATCAATTTAGAAGAGCTAATTAACTAGTCAATAAAATTTTGTGAGATTTTCATAAAAGTTAGCCGCAAGGTTAGGAAAAGGGGTGACAATTAATAGAAGAAAAATTATATTTGTACACAAAATGTGTACAGGGACAATTTGTTTAGAAAAAACTGTAATTGACTGTGTACATAGGTGAGTGTAAAAAAAGTGCACGCCAAGATTTGTTGAACATAGACATAGATGATCGAACTTGAGAAAATACTCAGACAAACTAATAATACTGCATAGTTTAAGACTCAATAACATAGGTTATTGTGTATATGAAATATGAACAGCGTATAAAATTGAATTATTTTTAATTTAGTTTTCTTCTTCTAAAATGTTATAAATCTTTTTAAGTAGAAAAAATTGCATTAATATTACTCTTTAAAATCTTGTGAACAAAAATATTACTGAGTAACTATTAATGACCATAATTGTGTTCAAATTTTCATCATAGTAATTACATGTAAGTTATTACGATGTAAACTTTTAACACAATTATGGTCACTATACTAGTAGTTAATAATAATATTTTATCCATCACTTTTTTATTAGTACCCCGTGTAATATTTAAGGAAAAACCCACCCCTATTAACTACTTTAAATGATTAAAAACAATTTCATAAATAAAAAGTGATGGTGCAAACATTTTTAAATCACATAAAGGTAAGAAAAACTTATGAATATAATAAAACTTTTATTTCTTGGTTTTCAAGAGGAAGTCAATCGCCCCCCATAAATGCATCCGCGTAGTAAATCATATTAAGACCAATAAAAATTTCTTAATTCATATACTACATCCGTCCCTCTAATATTGGGACGGAAGAGAGTGATGTAGTTTTTGAGAAAAAATATAATTATGTGATTGGTGAGTTGATAAAGTGGGAATAAAGTAAGAATAAATTAGAATCAAACAAATATTACCAAATATGATATGAGACAATAATAGAGGGAGAACCAAATATGAAAAAATGGGACAATTATAAGGGGACGGAGGGATCGTATTACATTATTACTAGTGTAACACCCGGGGCATGCCCCGGTAGTGTTAATTTGATGTAGATCAGGTGACAAATACCAATAAACATTGTGATTTGTGAACTATTCATATGGTATGATCTATTTTTCTTTTTTATTTCCTTTATGAACTAACCACCATCATGGAATACGGGTGATGAATCACCATCTTTTGGAGTATGAATTTGTGGTCATTTTGAAGTATGTGCTTATTGCTGTAATAATTATTAATTATATATATGACTAATTATATGATGAGAGATGATAAGAAATAGTGTTGAATTGGAATTGAGAATATGTGGAGCTTACAATTTTATACTCCGTATTATTTTGGACACGTGAATTATCGGCATTGTACATTTAGAGTCCCATTCACATGAACTAAAGTTCCATTATTTAAAAAAATTGATCTTGAATTAGAACCTTGTATGGTTAATCAAATGTGTTACATTAATCTTGTATTGTTAGAGTTCTATTAGGAGTATTAGAGTGTCATTATTCAAAGAATTTGATGTTGTGCTATTATTTTGTAAACTGAATTAATATGGTATTTATTGTGAGAATTATACTCTATTAATATGGTTGATACTAAGGAGTTGTTCTATTCGTGTAATATGAATATTTACGATATGAAATTTTAAATCAATATAATCAGTTAGATCAGTCGATTCAACCAATTCTAGTGTTATTAAAAGGGTTCATAATTGTTGATCTAAATTTTCCTTCGAAATATATGAATAGTCTTTTTATGTGAAATTAGATTTCGGAGTTGTTTTAAATTTATTTGGCAATTTTTTTAAAGAATGAAATCTTTTTTAATAACAGTTAGAGTTAATATATATTGATCATTTGATCGTGTTTCCAGCCACAAAAATATATTGATCGTATATTTATAATTCCTACAGGGATGTTGCAAAAATATATTGATCGTATATTTATAATTCCTACTGGGATGATATTAAATGTATTATGGAGTATCAAATTAGAGTCCTAGTATGCCCGAGTTAAACCATTAAAGAGATAAGATTTTGTCTCAAACTACATCATTCGTTTTTTTAATTAAATGTTTTAATAAAAGAATTTTAATATAATTTCTCTTAACCAATAAGCTTGTGACACATCAGCCTTTTAAAACTAAGCTTTACTATTAAAACAATAGATTATTAGAAGAACGTCAAATGTTTTCAATGACTAGTGAAATATATTGTTTTGACCAAGTCAAAATATGATGCAAGGTTTGCATTTAATTAGTAACTTATTATTGTCATACGTAATCAATTTGATATAGATAATTGTAGAAAAGAAGTTTTTTCGTTAGAATTTATGTTAATTGGAGGAAAACTAGGTTGGCCATAAATTATACTACGAACTTACAAAGTGTAATTCTTCCTTAAACAATAAACATGGTTGAATTCAGACATGCATGTCCTTAACCCCATGTGATTTTCGGACTCGTTTCGCATATTAGTGTGGTAAGGCCAATCATATGGTCGGAAATAAATGTGTTGCATTTATTCACATGACAGGAGTTATGAATTGAAGAAATCCATCCGTCTATTCATCATGAAATTATTCCAAACAAGAACAATGCATAGCACAAAATTTCAAATCAATAATAGGAGTATATGTTTTTGTTGGATAATATATAGAGTAGAGTTAATTAAACCATAATCTACAGTAAATCCGAACAGAAATAGCAATATAATGTCATACATTCTCTCTCTCTCTTATTAATTGTGGTGGACCACAACCAATGAGTCCATTTAAAAATAAAACCAAATTATCAAAAAATACGAACTGAAAAATTGATTCCAAAAATATCACTATACAAGTATACAACCTTTCTGAATATAGTACTCCTCGAATCGCATATTCTCACTTTCTCTATTCATCCGTAACATTCATATCTTTTCATTTCTAAATTTTCTCATCATATTCTAAATAATTTGTGAATGATTCGGAATATGAATACTATTACAATTACTCTTTTGGATTTCCGTCATTCCATCACATTATGTCATCATCTTCTCATCACATTTTTCAGTTTTCCAATTTCGGATTCGGTCACGAACATGACCTTACCCTTATAATACCTTTAGAGCACAAATTTAGCTTTTCATTAATATAAGCAGGGCTTAAATGGCTGATCATATATGATCAAATGTACAACCGTATGTAGTTTTGAATTAATAGCATTCTCCATGGACATTTCAATTTCTAAAATTCGGAAATTGAAATTTCCATAATAGCTGTATGTAAATTGAATTTAGCTTCTCAACGACTTAAAAGGGCGGGGTCAAATGAACAATCATTCATTGGGAATTTGCAATTGGGACACAAGTATTGGACTATAGGAGGATTAGGAGGATTGGAGCAAGTTAGGTTGGACTAAGTAATCATCAAGTTAGCATAATTTGGGTTCATTCACCAAGGCTACTAGTTTGTGTTAATATTTTGTTTCAAGAATGAGAATGATCAAAATACCAAACAAACAAAAATTATCGAATGTATAAGAAATTAGCTATATATTTCTAGTAATGTTAACAAAATTCAAAGCTAGCTCAGTTCTAATAAGATGGGAAAAACCTATTGAGCTTGAATGGCAACTTGTAGAATTCATCACTTCTTACATCCCTTCCATAGGCCACAAACTTTTGCCACCAATACGAGCCGTTATCTTTAGTATCATTATTAGGCAGAGTACGGTCCAGAAACTCAGCAATTATAATCGCCACCGTTGCATGTGACATGAAGATAACCGATATTATATCATTAAACTGCAACATTTGTTTAATTAACTAGGTAAATATACGGGAAATTTCCCTAGACAGCTAGGAATAAAAATGTTCGGAATTTCAAAATAGTACTTCTATATATTTTTTGGAAATAAGAGTCATTACTGTCATGATTGAAAAAAACTAACATTAATGTTACTACGTAATAAATATTGTCATCTTAATGCCTAGTAATGCAACTATCTTGACAATAATGTTTATATGTTCTTACTTCTATTTCGGGAAGGAAAATATACCAGTCTTATTTTAGAATTCCAAAACCTGTTTACTCCTATTTTGGTAACTTTCAATTTAAAAGCGGTTAGTAATGACACAAATAAATATGCTAAAGATTGGTTTTAAAGAGACATAATACGTACCCATCTAGCATGTGTATGAACGGGATATGATCCAAACAGGATTTGATGTTCCTTGAAGTATTGAGGCAGTGATAGTCCCATGAACAAGGAAAATCCTAGTATAAACTTTGTTCTAAAACTATTCAAGTTGCAAAATTGAAGGAAACCTAGACCGGCTGAAGCTGCAATGAAGAGATATGGTAAGAAACTTTGTTCCTTGGAGTACGTACTATTACTATTGTTGGATTTATTTTCACTTTGGACTCATCACTATTAGGCTACAATCAATTTTGACTCCTTGTTTCATTTCAGAAAAAAAAAATAGAAAATGTATGCCTATTTTCGTCCTTTGACTTGTAAATGTAGCTAAATGTGATCGGAAAATCTGACGTATGGAGAAATGGTAATGTCATATTGTGTTGTTTGACAAGAATTTAATAATCTTTTTTTTTTGCAGCAAGAATTTAATAATCATACACCAAAAAGTGTATAACTATAAACTATTGTTAGGCTGGAGTATAGTGCCTCTACATTTACTACCTTCTATTTCCTATTCATTTGTTTTTATTTCTATATCTCTCAATGTGCGCACTATTTGAGAGAACGAAAGTGTGATTTCCCTATGAACAAATGTCAATTTGGAATGTTCTAAAAATTGTGTTCAACAATTACTTCGGTAAAAAACTTGTGAGACAGAAAAGTACGTACAAACATATGCAAAGAAGACACAATACAAGGCTGCCATTACTGGCATAGGAATCGAGGCGAAAAGTGCTCCAAATTTCCCTGATGAATATAAAAAAGAATAGGGTAACATGTAAATAAATACTCTGATCTGTATGTAACAATAAATATACGCCGTATCTACCAAAAAAGCATTAGAAATGAAGTTCTCATTCACTATTCACTTTCATTGGTCAACTTAAATCTGTGTTAATCTTTTATTTTACATATCAAATTTTTATCAAATTTAAATTTTCTTGATCAAGCTTTGTAGCGGTTTTAATGTAGTTTCTGAATATATAAATTTCATTTACTAAAACTAATCTTATTGTTAACAGGGATCGATTTGTTTTATCGTCAGTCAAGTATCATCAACCGAAACCGGAAATTCTTTATGGGACAGAGGGAGTATTAGGTTCTGTAATAAATATTCCTAAATGTAACAAAAAAGCATCGAAAATCAATCTAAAATTATGATACGAATAAGGATGTTTTTACTTGGACTGTAATTTGCTGGTCTGGTCTGGTCTGGTCTGGTCTGAACTGGTCTGGTCTGGTAAGGTCTGGTTTCTTTGTATTTTTATAACTATCCAAGTCTGGTCTGGACTAGTCTCGGACAAATTACAATCCAACTAAAAACATCCTAATACGAGTACCTAATATGGCAAAAGAAATCATGAAGCCTGCAGATATCTGAGCAACTCTTCGGCTTCCAACTTTTGTTAACGCCAAGAGACCAGCATTTTCTCTGAGAAATATAGAAAAAGAAGACAATTTAACATACAAAAAGAAGACAATTTAACATTAATTATGCTTTTAGTCTGTAAAATATAGTGATTTTTGTTTCAGTTCTCCTTAAATTTTTTGTTTTATATCCTTACAATCAGGACTATTTTCTTGTCTGACGTTTTATCAAACTATGTAACTATAAAATACATTAGATTAACATGATTTTCACTTTATATTTCATAGCAATACTGAAAATTATTTACATATAACACGCCAGATATAGTCTAGTTTTATATGGTTTGTGACTAGAACCATTCTAATGAATCGTTTGATTACTCGTATCGTTAACTCAATTTGTACCCTTCAAATGTTATTATAAAACTGACATAAAGTTAATTTAGAGATGACTTACGGAACATTTATATTAATATTAATAGCCTAATATTAAATTAGGAATACTTTGTATTTTTGACAATTCTCTTATTATAAATATATGTCTGTCGGTGCTTTCACATGGAGCATCCTTTTCCAATATTTCACATGGTATCACGAGCCTAATTTTCTTTTCTCAGAATAGATATTGTTAGAGTTAGATAAGAACTAGAAATCAGATATACCATGATGAAAAACAAAATTCTTAAAATAAATATCTTCTCAAAAATCTAATGAAAAAATGTTATTTACAAGGACAATCAATTTATTTATCATACTCTATAAAACACAGAGTGCTTTGTTACCATCAAGACTTGTAATAGGGTAGAGAGTTTAAACATTACGCTGTTGCACAAGGGCCCGTGAGTCCACCAAAAAGCCCACTAAGCAAAGTCCCTACCCCCTGGACAAACGGTGTGAATTTATGAAAATAATATTTTGCAAAAATTATTTCGATACAAAGTATATGGATTTAATAAAATTAAATCTTACAAGCCAACAGACACCTCGGCTCATGATAGAAGGTGGCACTGGGGTAGCACTTCCATATCTTGATGTAGCGTAAAATACAGCTGTAGACTGCCAGAAAGTATGAATGAATTATCATAACCGAAAAAAGTGTTAGTTTGTATACATCATTTGTACAAGTTTTTGTACACTTCTCCTCGTTGTCTGTGTTAATAGATAATTCGTTAAAAAGTCACAGAACTTTATAGAAAGTATACAAAATTATCTATATATTGTGTAAATTGGCGCGTACATGAAGTACGACCTATTATTATGAATAAGAGATCTATGGAGAATATGTTAGTAATTAATTAACCTCAATGGAAGAGACAAAACAAGACGCTAGAATTGCAAAAACATCGCCTGCATTAAAGGTAGGAGCTCCCCATTGAAATGGCAAAGGGACGCTAATCCTGCATAATAATGCAAAATTAATTTGGTTGCTCAATGATTGAAATTGTGACAAATTTACGTTTGAATTGGCTCAATTATCTAAAATGGCTTTTAGAACATAAAGAAATTGTCTTATTGGAGTACAAATAGTTTCATATTAAAAAATAGAATAAGAATATTCTTCTGCTAGAAATCCTAACTTACCCTTAAACATATTGCTGACTCGTCTAAAAGTTATCTCTCATTTTTGTAGGAAAATCATGTTGTCTATTTCTTCCCTAAATATAGACATTTTTCCATATCGTTCCAATTTTATCTAATGTTCCCGAAAGGACCTAAGGATGTTTTCTTTTGGACTGTTTTCAGTCCCAGACTAGACCAGACCAGACTTAAACAGACCAGACCAGACCAGACTTAAACTGACCAGACCAGACTTAAACAGACCAGACCAGACTTAAACAGACCAGACCAGACTTAAACAGACCAGACCAGACCAGACCAGACTTCCGTAGTTATAAAATACATAGAGACCAGACGTTTACCAGACCAGACCAGACCAGACCAGTTCAGACCAGATCAGACCAGACCAGACTTAAACAGACCAGATCAGACCAGACCAGATCAGACTTAAACAGACCAGACCAGACCAGACTTAAACAGACCAGACCAGACCAGCAACTTTCAGTCGAAAAGAAAACATCCTAAATATAGATATTTGTTCAAGTATTTTACACTTCGCTTCCATCCAAATTAGGGATTACTTTAACGACTAAGGATGTTTTTACTTGGACTGTAATTTGCTGGTCTGGTCTGGTCTGGTCTGATCTGGTCTGGTCTGGTCTGAACTGGTCTGGTCTGGTCTGGTAAGGTCTGGTTTCTTTGTATTTTTATAACTATCCAAGTCTGGTCTGGTCTGGTCTGGTCTGAACTGGTCTGGTCTGGTCTGGACTGGTCTGGTCTGGTCTGGTCTGGGACAAATTACAGTCCAAGTAAAAACATCCTAAAGAAGTAACTATTTTGATCCGATTTTTGCCAACCAAGGATCCAAAAGATAAACTTTATTGATTTAGGGCATAGTAACATTAAATTATTTTCTTTTCACGACAACTTAATAAGTACTACTTCCTCCGTCCCGTTAAGATTGTCTCCTTTTACCTTTCAGGAAATCCCACTAAGATTGTCTCATATCAAATTTGGTAAAGTTTGTATGGCTCTAATTCATTCTTACTTTATTCTTACTTTATCAATTTAATATCAATCACACAAACTCACTTTTCTTAAAGATCGTACTACCTTTTCTTGTCCCAATTTCAGTGGGACGGAGGTAGTACTAATTAATACTAATTAAGTCATAAATTGAAGTTTTCATATTTTTGGGCGTAATACTAAGTGCATATTTGGTAGCCACGAGTTCCTAGCACTAACTTTTGTACTATTTGAAAAGTCGGTCTCTAAGAAAATCTAGTTAGATGTTTGACATGACAACTTTTAAGAGCTTTTCTCAAACAAAAAAAAAATCTTTATTGAGAATCTACAACATGTAGCATATGGGAGAACGTCTGTAGCTTTTAACATTAATTAGCCACAATAGTTTGTTCTACCAAAAAAAACTAAATCAAATAGTCAGCTTTTTATCAAACAGCTACAATTTTTTTCTTTTAAGATCTTTTCAGTCACTAAAAGCTAGATCTTTTCAGTCACTAAAAGCTAACAGTATTAAAAATGTTTCAAAAATATTTTTTAGTTGTGATAAACACTCTCACAATTTAGTCGTTTGGATTCTTAAACATACCCTCACACGTACTTTAGTCGTTTGGATTCTTAATTGATATTCAACTTATCTTTAGCATCACACGTTCAATTTCTTACTTTTATCGTCAATCAGTTCAACGAGCAATCAATGTTTTTACTAAGCAGAAGATTTATGCTACCGAAGGAGTTGAATGTGGGGCAAAGTGTAGGGTAAATGACTTACCAAGAGGATCCGCTCATAAGACGAGAACTATCGATCCGACAATTCTCTTCAGAATATGTCTTATAAGGTCCACTCCAAGTCAAAATGGCTGCATATATCCACACAATGGAAACAGAAAACAGCACGGCAAAGCGATCCAATATCGGTCTTTTTAGTTTTAGCCATGTAGGAAGATACTGTAAAAGATGGATTAATGAGAATTCCAGACTTGGATTTTTATGAGTTCATGTTCCAAGGACAGAAAACAGAAAGGGAACAAAATAATGTCCCTTTTTAGGCAAACAAAATTATGCCTCTTTGTAACATACCTGGGAGACAAGGATTATAAAGAACAATTCTGGAATACCCACCACGGCACACTTGGCCATCTAGACGCAACAAAAAAAACAATGAATATGATTTCTAGATTCGAACTTTGTTCTAAAACTTGAGCAAAACGCGGTTAGTAATAAACTTTAATTTGTTTTGATACCACACAATTAACAACATAATCACCTTAACTTCACACCTATTTTTTAAAGGTACTTCACATCTATTAGTATGCACAGGCATATAAACTTAATGTAAGAAATTTTAAGTGTCGTAGTTTGTCAAACATGACAACACCAAAAATACATTTAGGGCCTTGTTAGATACAATTGTTCTAAAAAATGTGTCTATCTTACACCAGACCACTAATTAGAAGACTAATTTGTAAAATGCAAAACAATTCAAAGATTAAAAAGTGCATCCTTTAAAAATTTTGTCTTGATTTGGTTACATGTGGTTTGGTCTTTTAGGTCTGATAAAAGTTTACATGTGTATATGTCTTGATATGGTCTTGTGTCTTAGGATTTTGGTCATTTTTGTTTAATTTGAGACTCAAACAAGTTGAAGTGAAAACATCTTAATAAGGCTCAATCTTTATACTTATCATGAAATCTAACAGTCTTATATGATTCCATTATAGATTCATACTCTGTATAACACAGTGGCATCACCATTATCATTCATTTTTAAACGGAATCCTCATTATGGATCCAATATAAAACAAAACAACTATTATAGGGTCACATATCCGTACAATACGGGTTCACATTAGGCCTCAATGCCTCATGCAAATGGAGTTAGATACTTATATCACTTAGATCGACACATATTCATAGTGATTATTTATAGTTTTTCCCAATGTGAAACTTGGGTCACATCCCTCTAACTATGACTTTGAAATGTATCAATCTAAGTAAGGAGGTGTTTACTTCGCTGCTAAAGTCACATTTAGGTTAGTAAGACAGGTGAAGTAACACCCAAGCTGCTTAATTAAAAAGCTGCCAACTAACCGAAAGAGGTGCTTAAAGTGTCGTTTACTAAGCATACCACCCCCATGTATTCATTAAGCGACATTTAAAACTTTTTCAGTTTCCGAATTTACCATTACCCTTACCCCTTGCCCTTACCCTATTGTTACCCATATCCTACCCACCTTACCTCGAACCCCACCTCGATTCCGACCCACCCCTTACCCCTACCTACCCCCCACCTACCCCCGACCATGTCCCTTTACCCCACCCCCACCCCACTCGTACCTACCCTTTACCCTACCCTGACCCATTTACTCCTACCACCTTCCCCTACCTTGACCCCACCCTGACCCCGACCCATCCTACCCTACCCGCGAACCCCACCCCACCCCTACGAGTAGGGTAAGGGTTAGGGTATTGTCGTATGGGTATGGTATGAGGTTGTAGGGGTAGAGGGTAAGGTCGTTGTAAGAGAAGGGGTAGGGGTCAAGGGTTTGTAATTGAGGGTAGGGTATAGGGTAGGGGTGGGGTAGGGGGTAGGGGGTTAGGGGTATGGGTACGCGTACAAGGTGACCTTCACATAGTATATTATATACTTGTGTTAATGAATGTTTGTGTCTCTATATATGTATAAGGTTATTTTGGACATTTTAATGTTAAACGATGTTTTAAATCCTTTGAAGTAAACATGAGCTTACAACACTGCTTATTTTATGCGTCGCTTATTAACGTGGGTCTTAATAAGCGCTGTTTAGTAACCCGTGAAGTAAACCTGTCCTTAGAGTTTTGTTCTTTCTACATATCTGGATTATCTTCATACTTGAATTTAAAATAGAAAGTTGAAGTTAATATCTTTTTTTTTTCAAACAAATCCTGGCCTCACAATTTCATTTTTGATATTAATGGACCAAAATTTTGCAACTTTCAAGTAATTAGATAAACATATCCTCAAAATTGACACCTCTGAGCTTTGAAATGAAGTCTCACCAGTGGGAAGCCCAGATGAAAAAGCCCAAGCCCAGTTAATGTGATAAGTGGAACAACTGACAAAGGGCTAAGAAACCTATGATTCAAAATAATAAAATTCAGAAGCTATACAATTCATCTGTTTAATTAATAAAAGGTATTTTATTAAAAAAAAAAAAGGATGACACCCCATCCCTGAGGGCCACCCAACACCGACCGGACGGCACGATGGGAGGATGCAAATTGGACTATAATCACAATCTGACGGATAGAGAGTGAGGCTCCGTCCCCGGTACTTGTAGAGGGACTCTGTTTAGTAACCTCTCATCGGAGTTGCCGGGAGTCGAACTCGGGACCTAACCCTTGTGACACTCCCTCGCTACCAGTTGAGCTACGCCCACCGGTATAAAAGGTATTTTATTATTTCTATCGAGGTGATAAACTCTGAATCTTGTTCGAGGGTCGGTGGTTGTCAGGAATCTTTTTGTTGTTTTACCTATTATCTGAATGATGTGTTATCAATTTAAGTCTATTTCTTCTACACAAAAATTAATAAAAAGTATATTATCAAGACATCGGATTTGAAAGAAAAGGTGAGTTGGTATATATAGGACTCAACTGATCAAAGTTAAAAACTATGGAAAACTAAAAGTAAAAACTACAAGAACTACTATTGATCATAGCATACTATACCTGGTAGCATTTCTCCATAAACCTATGAATCCAGCAATGACTTGAAAACAAGAAGCTACAATAAGGGCTCCTTGAATGGACCTCATCGTGTGCTCAAACCTCTAGGAGTTAAATAAATAAAGAAAATAAATAAATAAATAAATTAATTAATTAATTAATTAATATGATTTAATAATTATATAAATAAGCTAAGTAAACAAAGTTATTTATTGACTGAGAGTGAACAAATCATATTATCTTTCCCATTTTCTAAATTAAGTTCAGAATTTGACTTTCATAATATAAAAATTATTATACTCCCTCCGTCCCAGGGAGAAGTTCTCGGGTTGACTTTCCCACATATTTAGGAAATAAAGTTATTGAGGGGTAAATGTTACTGTTTGGCACTGTTTCAACACTATTTGGCACTGTTTCGACACTGTTTGGCACTGTTTTGCACTGTTTGACACTGTTTTGATATAGGATAACTTTCCGTTTAGGGAAATGAGAACTTTTTGTTGGGACTACCAAAAAAGGAAAGTGAGAACTTCTTCCTAGGACGGAGGGAGTATATAATTATATACTTTAAACAAAATCTACATGCAGTGACTTAGCATTTCAATAAGATATACGAAGTACATAGTACTTGAACAAAATATTTAAAGTTTTTCATGCTATAAATTACGGAGTAATACGGAATATAATTTTGATAAACTTTAATATTTTCAAATGATCAAAAAGTAAAAAGTGGTAGAGAATTTACCATGTTAGGATCCGGAATCTGCTGAAATTTCCTAGATTGGACGATTGATGTTATAGGAATCAAGTAGGCATATGAACCACCTACAACTGAAGGTAACCTTACTCCAAATAAAGATTGAAACAACGTATTTATTCCCGAAATGAAAAGTAACACCTGAACCACCTTAGCCTCTTCAACCTGCATTTTAAAACTTTATTACAAAAACTCTAGAAATTTATAAAGAACACTCGACTAGTGATTAGCCACGATAGGGAATTGAAGTCGGCCGAATAAAAGAAAAAACTCTTTAATTCTTTCTAAATTTCCACACAGATCTTTATATATCCAAAACTAATAAAGGTTTGGTAGATTATATGGTATCCTTAAGATATCATACTTTTGTCCACATGGACCAATAGAAATGATGCACTTGAATTAATTAAATCCAAATTAAAAGGAATAGAATGATTTGGACCAATCAAATGCATGATAGGTACGGTACCCCCAATTTTTAAAAGGGTACCGGAGTTGTCACCTAAATGTTTTTACCGCAATTGAATTGAGGTGGACCTTGGCACCAGTTGCCTCTTTGAACTAAAGATTTTTACATTATTCACATCTCTACTTTGATTATAATTTTTTGTTAAATTCGTTACATTTTAAGTTTTCAAAATATGGAATTGTTAAATTTTTTTCTAATAGTGAATTAAATATATTAGTGATCAAATTTGTGCGCTAACACACGTGAAATTAGAAGCGTTATAACTAAAAAAGAATGGAAGATGTATCATACACTAAGGATGTTTTTTTTGGACTGAAATTTGTTGGTCTGGTCTCATCTGGTCTGAATTGGTCTGGTCTGGTCTGGTAAATGTCTGGTCTCTGTGTGTTTAATAACTATGCAAGTCTGGTCTGGTCTGGTCTGATCTGATCTGGGACTGAAAACGGTTAAAAAAAACATCCTTATGATGTACCCCATTTTTTCGAAAATTACAGACAAGTATTATAATGTTTAAAATATACTCTTACATTCAAATAGTTAAGATGTATATATGTGTTTTCTCGGATACAATTCCAGAAAATAAATTTCTCGGATTACAGACAAGTATTATAATGTTCAAAATACATTCAAATAGTTAAGGGAATAGTGTTTACTCGGATACAATTCCAGAAAATAATTTTCTAATTTTAAGATTTTAGTGTTCAATTATTATAAAAGAAATTTAAGGTATATTTATCATCTAATCAGAGTATGTTTGTTCAATTATTTCTACCTAGAAATTGACTTAGAAGTCTACATATATGATAACATTTTCACTAGAACAAATGCCTCATAACTTATATGTTGCATGAAAACGCGAAAATCATGAAGAAACGGACCAGAAAACGGAAAACATCAACTTTTGCTCAAAAAGGGCTTGTTTGGAGGGTTTTGAAAGAGTTTTCGTAGAGTTTTCGAAACAGAACGTATTCTTTTCCAAAAAAATTCATGCTACATAGAAGGCCTCTATTCATCACTTTAGTACTGCAGTACGTGTACAATAATATGTGAGGTAACTTTTTTTTTTTGAGAATAATATGTGACTATGTGAGGTAACTTAACCACATATTTAGAAAAAATAACGCCAATATTGTACGTAGTACAAGATAAATCAGCCCAAATAATGATACTCGTAATAATTAATCACAAATTAATAATCATGAAAACCACATAATGAAAAGCGTGTTCTTCACATAAACATCAATTTGTAAGGTTCTTACTTTGCTACCACCCATTTGAGGCACTATTGTTTTAGGGATGAACACAATATTGCCCAGAGTTAACAGGTAATGCTGGAAACCCAAAAGCATTGCCTCAGCTGCATTAACCAAACAATAAACAGTTCAGTCCCACCATATATGTATCAAACTTCTTTTTTTCTCTGTTAAAAAATCGACCAAATATGTATTAATGGCCGGAAAAGGAAACTTACACCATGACGGTGGACTGTTGACACAAAATTGCACACCGGAGAGCTGCTCCAGTACTGCATGCGGCTGCGGCGGCTTCTCCTCCGCCTTCTTATTCTCCTCCGCCTTCCTAGCACCGCCTTCATTGCCGCCTTCCGATGACATGTTTGGAACCAATGAAGCCCAAAAGCAAATTAGATTTTGTTTCATACAATAATAATTTGAATATGCTAGTTTAGTGTTATAGAGTAAATACTGACCGTTACAAGATTTTTTATAGTTATGTGGATTTGGGGTTACACAATCAAAATCATAAGTGCAATCAATAACCATAAAATATACTAGTATACAATATACGTAGTATATATTTAGAGAATTTGGACCATATGAGAATGAGATGCAATGAGAAAATGAGATTGACTTTGATGCACTAGATTTGAGAATTTTGTGTTAATACTCTCTGTATATGAAATAGAAATGTGCATTACTAAAAAGTTACTACATTTTTATAAGTAAAATGAACTTTTCCTCAATCCAAATTGTGTACTATCTTTCTTGAGAAGTGCATCACGATGAACCAGATTATACATCATTTTGGATCATTCCCACTTTCACGTGAAGAATCATTCTCCATGGTATATGGCAACAATTTGCACTACTTGCAACGCAATTGCATCAATTGCACACCCTAAGAGCATCTTCATTCAATGCAATAATGTGCACGATACATACTTCGTATGTGGCATGAGAGATATAGACGCAAAATTTAAATTCATGAATTATTCTCTCTTTCATTCTTTACACGAATTTATATGGAGTATTTTAGTTAATTTTTAGCAAGAATGTAAAATATAGTGTCTACATCTAAACGTTTCCCCTGACATTGTAGAGAAATAGTTACCAAAAATTGATAAGACGATTCAAGTAAGGAGAAAAAAATTACATTAATTAATGTTTATGTGTCTAAGCATCTAGGGTTTGTGAGCGAAAAACAAACAAAAATGGCTAAGGGAGATCAAGGTAGGATGATGGGCAACATCAAGTGGTTCAATGACGACAAGGAATTTGGCTTCATCACTCCCGACGACGGTAGCAACGATCTTTTCATCCACTAATTCGGCATCATATCTGATGGACATTGCGTCCTCGGTGAAGGAGAGAATGTCGAGTTCACTGTGGAGGAAGGTAGCGACGGTTGTACGAAGGCTGTGGACATTTCCGACAATAATGGAAACCCTATCGAAGGTCGCGGCGGTGTCGGAGGTTACAGAGGCGGTCGTGGAGGTGGTAGCAGTGGCTATGGAAGCAGGGGCGGAGGTGGCCGATCTGGTGACTACGGAGGCAGAGGTGGTGAGAGCTATGGTGGCGGAGGAGGCTATGGAGGCAGAGGAGGCTATGGAGGCGGAGGTGGCAACTATGGAGGAGGTGGCGAAGGCTATGGTGTACTAGGCGGTAGCTACGGTGGATCAGGCGGCGGAGGCCGTGGAGGAGGCAGGGTCGAGGGCTACTACCGTTGCGGTGAGGACGTCACTCACTTTGCTAGAGAGTGGACACAGAGCGGCAGAGGTGGATGCGACAATCGTTAGAGTGGTGACGGCAGACGTAGCGGTGGTGGCGGTGGTGGTTAATTGCTTCTATTCTGGCTAGGAATGTCACTTTGCTCGTGAATGCCAAAACATCAACCATTGATCTGTTTATCTAATGACTAAGAAAATGGCATTGTGAATCTTCACATATCTCATCTCTGATTAATATTATCATGTCTCTTTTTAATCACAACAAAAATGTTTATGTGTCTATTTCTTTTATGGAAGATATGCACCGCGCACATTATTACACACCATTGCATTGAAAAATAATGCTCTGGAAAAAGTAACACGTGCATCCGCTGGTCTCTCCAAGTGTCATCTCTCCCAATTGCCTCTTCCTCAACACCTATATATCCTTCCTCTGTTGTCCATCTCTTCATCTCCGTACACTACCTAATCCACCCTACCTGGTATTAATATACTTCCATTTCTCCATCTCATTTAAGTCTCTCAATTGAAATATAGAATATCTTGATATGGTCCATCTTTTCTTAAATTAATTAAAATAACATGCATGCTACTATATAAAGGAAAGAAGTGAATGAGGAAAACGATTTGCTAGATCAAAATGCAAGTGTAAAGTGTTACACATGTCCCTCACATCAATTTCTTCCTAATTCAAAACAAAATTGAGGTGCACACGCCGTGCGCCTGACGCGGGAATGTCGTGCGCCTGAAGCGCGTATGCCGTGCGCGCTTAGTTTAAATTAAAAATCGATGCTCTCTCAAGGTCACGCACAGCTGTGCACACACGCCATGCGCGTTGAAAAAAAAAGCGCTCTGAAACAAGTAACACATGTCCCCGTTGTTCCTCTCCAAGTGTCATCTCCCTCAATTGCCTCTTCCTCAACACCTATATATCCTTTCTCTACCAGCCCTATCTTCATCTCCTACTCACTACCCACCCTACCTTGTATTAATACACTTCCACTTCTCCATCTCATTTAAGTCTCTCAATTGAAATATGGAATATCTTGGTCTCGTCCATCCTTTCTTAAAGTAATTAAAATAACATGCATGCTGCTAAAATTAAGCGCGTGTGCCGTGCGCGCTTAATTTAAAATAAAAAACCATGCTCTCTCAAGGTCATGCACAATTGTGCACACAAGGCACACACGTCGTGTGTGTTGAAAAAGAACGCTTTGAAACAAGTAACATGTCTCCCCGATGTTCCTCTCCAAGTTTCATCTCCTCCAATTGCCTCTTCCTCAACACTTATATATCCTTCCTCCGCCAGTCCTCTTTTCATCTCCAATTGAGGTGCACACTCCGTGCGCCTGAAGCGCGCATGTCGTGCGCCTGAAGCGGCCATATCGGAGCAAGTGGTGGAGGTGACCGCTGTGCGGCGGCGGAGGCGAATGGTGTGTTGATGCGACGCTGCAAGCCACCGGCGAAGGCGAATGACCTAGAGCGAAGGTAGGTCTCTTGTCTCTTGGAGCGCGTGCAGATCTAAAGGAGAGCATCGGGAGATGCAGGTGTGAAGAGGAAGACGGTAGATAGTTGAATTTGGGAATTGGGGTTTAAACACTTTTTTGTCCAATTCTAAAAGAGTCATATATTTGTCTTTCCAAAGTGTACAGGTGATATCCAGCCATTGTTTCTTATGATTATTATTAATTGTTCCCCTAGTTCCCTGGCATAACTGGGCAGTCTGTTGGTGGTGGGGCAATCTCGTGGTGGTGGCGGCGGCAGGGGCTGCTACTGTAGCGGTGAGGATGGTCACATTGCTGGAGAGTGAACACAGAGCGGCAGAGGTGGAGGCGGCGATCATCACGATGGTGGAGGTAGCGGGTGTGGCGGTGGTTGTTTGCTTCTCTTGTTGCTAGGAAGGTCGCTTTGCTCGTGAATGCCGAAACAACAACTCTTAATCTGTTTATCCAACGATTTAACGAATGACATTGTGAATCTTCGTATATCTCATCTCTGTTTTATATTAGCATCTCTCTCTTTTAATCATAAAAAATGATGGTGTCTTTTATTTTTATGGTTGATATGCATCGTACACATTATTGCATTAGAGACACTCTTATGCACTCACATATTCGCATGAAAGTGTCAATCTAACCGGACTGCACCTTATATATATTGTGTTCAAACAAAAAGAGTACTTAACGCGAAAAGTGCAAAACTTTCGCTTTTACTTCGCTAAACTGCATGTACTTTTAGATTTCGATCAAAAGTAATATTATAAATATTCATTTTAATATTATAAATATTTTTCTATAAATATATCTTTATATAAGTTTAAGATTGTTGAAGGGATATACAAATATGAAAATTCCCCATAGTTTAAACATAATTGTATAAACAATAATTTTGTATTTAATACATTGAACAAAAATAATACTCTAAAGGATAAATCTTAATTAGTAACCAAATAAGCTACTTTCATTGTATATTCACTAACTACATTTGAGAGTGGGGTTAAGTAAGTAAGGGGGTGGGTGAGTAAGAGTCCTGTCAGTGGAGATGCGATCAATAATATAAATGAATGAAGTGAATGAGGAAAATGATTTGCTAGATCAAAATGCAATTGTAAAGTGTTACACACGTCCCTCACCTTAATTTCTTCCTACTTCAAAACAAAATTGAGGTGCACACGCCGTGCGCCTGAAGCGCGCATGCCGTGCGCGCTTAATTGAAATTAAATACCCAAGATCTCTCATGGTCATGCACAGTTGTGCACACAAGGCACACACGTCGTGCGCTTTGGAAAATAAAAAACACGCTCACAAACAAGTAACATGTGCCCCCAATGTTCCTTTGCAATTGTCATCTTTACCAATTGCCTCTTCCTCATCACCTATATATATCCTTCTTCTGTCGGCCCTCTCTTCATCTCGTACTCCCAACCCACACCCTACCTAGTATTATTAATATGCTTTCATTTCTCCATCTCATTTAAGTCTCTCAATTAAAATATGGAATATATTGATCTCCTACATCCTTTCTTAGGTTAAGTAACATAACATGCATGGTGTTAACCCTTTTTCCACCGGGGTTAGTGGTTCTTCTAATATCAAGAATATTACAACTTAGGTTTTTGCTAGGTACATGCATATTGCCCTGAACTCTAAGGTTACACCACTTGCCGACGTTCTAGTTCTGCCACTGCCTTGCCGGAGAGATTGGGCTCCTCCGCCTTAAACTCCCTATTCGATCCTCTTAACAAGCCAGTTCGCCAAGTGGTACTTTTCGTATTTGGCACTGATTTGCCACAAATTTGTTGCCCCAATAAGTAGGTTGAATGATCTTATATTTAATGACGAGGGTTGTGGCTATTGATGTGACATTTATGAAGGAGACACTTCAATGGCAGTACATCATGCAATTTAATACAACTTATTGCTACGTCTTATCATTTATTTTTACTTTATTTGAAATTTTCATACAATCTACATTCTCCTTTTTCCTACAATACCATTTTATAATCAAAGTTACAAAATATAAAAACTAGATGCCCTTAAAAAGAGTAAGACATACTCCTTTTCTATAAATAGGAGTCCAAGCTAAATCTTTCTTAAGTAGGACTAAACATTAATTTTCTTCCCTCAATACCACTAATCTAATTTATTAATATAAATAATTGTACCCCTAGTTCCCTGGCATATCCCTGGCAGTCTATTGGTAGTGCGGCAATCTGGTGGTGGCGGGGGCTGCTACCGTTGCGGTGAGGACAGTCACTTTGCTAGAGAGTGCGCATAGAGCGGCGGAGGTGGAGGCAGTGGTAGCCGTGGTGGTTGCATCTCTAGTGGCTGACGTAGTGGTGGTGGTGGCAGTGGTAGTGGTGGTTGCATCTCCTGTGGCTAGGAAGGTCACTTTGCTCGTGAACGCCAAAACAACAATCGTTGATCTGTTTATCTAATGACTTAGAAAATGGCATTGTGAATCTTCACATATATCATCTCGGTTTTATATTATCATGTCTCTCTTTTAATCATAAAAAAAATGTTTATGTGTCTATTTCTTTTATGGCAGACATGCACCATGCAAATATTGCACATTAATGCATTTGAGATACTCTCACACCCTCACATATTCACATAGAAGCGTCATTCTAACCAGACTACACCTTGTATATAAGGCGCGATTCAAATAATAAGAATATTTGACGTGAAAAGTGCAAAATTTTCACTTTTACTTCACTATTTCCCTAGTTCCCCTAGTTCCCTAGCATAACTAGGCAGTCTGTTGGTGGTGGGGCAATCCAGTGGCGGCGGCAGCGGGTACTGCTACCGTTTCTGTGAGGATGGTCACATTGCTGGAGAGTGCAGACAGAGCGGCGGAGGTGGAGGCGGCGATCATTGCGGCGTTGATGGTGGAGGTAGCGGGTGTGGCGGAGGTTGTTTGCTTCTCTTGTTGCTAGGAAGGTCGCTTTGCTCGTGAATGCCAAAACAACAACTCTTAATCTGTTTATCCAACGATTTAACGAATGACATTGTGAATCTTCGCATATCTCATCTCTGTTTTATATTAGCATCTCTCTCTTTTAATCATAAAAAAATGTTGGTGTCTTTTATTTTTATGGTTGATATGCATGGTTCACATTATTGCATTAGAGACACTCTTACGCACTCACATATTCACATGGAAGTGTCATTCTAACCGGACTGCACCTTATATATATTGTGTTCAAATAAAAAGAGTACTTAACGCGAAAAGTATAAAACTTTCGCTTTTACTTCGATACACTGCATGTACTTTTGGATTTCGATCAATTTCGCTCTTTTTCGCAGTAACAAAAACATTTACTTATTTATGAAAATGTCATCACGTTTTTAACTCAATCAACTACTAGGGGTTTCGCTAATATTTTCTTATCATTTTAATATTATAAATATTTTTCTATAAATATATCCTTATTTAAGTTTAAGATTGTTGACGGGATATACAAATAGGAAAGTTCCCCTTAGTTTAATTAAACATAATTGTATAATCAATATTTTTGTATTTAATACCTTGAACAAAAACAATACTCTAAAGGATAACTTTTAATTATTAACCAAATAAGGTACTGTCATTATATATTCCTTAACTACAGCTGAGAACGGGGTTAAGTAAGGGGGCGGTTAAGTAAGAGTCCAATTAGTGGAGGTGTGATCGATAATCTGAAGGAATGAAATGAATGAGGATACGATTTAGTAGATCAAGATGCAAATGTAAAGTGTGACACACGTCCCTCACCTCAACTTTTCCCAATAATAAAAAAAATTGAGGTGCACACGCCGTGTGTGTGAGGCGCGCATGCCGTGCGCCTAAAGCGTGCATGTCGTGCACATTTACTTTAAATTAAAAACCTATGTTCTCTCAAGGTCGCACGCAATTGTGCACACAAGGCACACACACCATTACTCTTTATCTTTAGGATAAAATAAATAATTTAACCGATATGAAAAATACATATTTAGCATATATCATTTTAATGTTTACACATTTCATACATTCATTATGACAAAGTTAGCTAATAAGACATAATTGTATTTGTTATATTTTGAACTCCACATGTATGAAAAGATGTTTGGCGGTAACAACATAATTTCATTTATACCTTTAACATGATTATTTGAATAAAATTGTGAATTTCACAACATTTTTACCACTGACTCATTTAGTTTTCTTTGAGTATTTTATGTGATATTATAAATGTTAATCTACTATCATTTAATTATTTTTGTGACATGTGAATCTTTTTTAGTAATCGAAAATATGCTCCACGCTTTCATGTCATCTGTCTTAGTAAGATAAAGTATGTGTTAATTTATAATATTTTAGTTTTTCTTTTTCTGTCGTTTATTTCTCTTTACATTTTATTTAAATAATAAATACAAGAAAATGAGATGGACTACTATTTTTATTTTCTAATTCTAAAATATAAAACTTGATCAAATAAAATGATAAACATATGAAACTGAATCAAATTGAACTAAATTAAAGCTAACCACAACATCCCACAAACCGAATAAAATGAAATCGAACTGAAACCGAAGAAAATTGAATCGTAAATCAAATTACGCACCACCACTTTTAGGTATTAGATTACTTATTAAGCCATTAGATGGCTAAAAAAAATAAGCGAGAGCATTTTCTCTCTCATATGTAATGCTTTTAGCTAATAGAAGATTAGATTACTTATTAGGCCATAAGTCAGCTAATAAATTGAGCGATTTAATTTTCTCTCTCATATGTAACGCTTTTAAGTACTACCTCCGTGCCGTTGAAAGGTTCTCATGGCAAAATGACTCGGTTATTTAGACAATAAATAAATACGGTAGTTAGAGTACATTTTGATAAATAATTTTAATAGGTATATAATATAATGAGGTTAGTGTTGATACCTGTGATTTTATAAATGTATTATTTTACTTCCTCCGTCCCCTTTTAAATGTCCCGGAAGAGGGTGACACGAGTTTTAAGAAAAGTGGGTTTGTGTGGTTGATATTAATTGTTAAAGTAAGAATAAAGTAAGAATGATTTTGAGTCACACAAATTTTACCAAATAAGGTATGTGACAATTAAATAGGGACATCTCAATATGGTAAAACGGTACATTTAAAGGGAGACAGAGGGGGTAATATTTAATGATTAAACTGACATTTAAAATTGTTAATTGTTTCCTAAAATGGAAATGTAACGCTTTATAAGGGACGTCCAAAAAAGGAAAATGAGATTCTTTCTGTGGGACTGAGGGAGTATTAGATAAGTCGGCTAATAAATTAAGCGAGAAAATTTTTACTCTCATATGTAGTGATTTTACGTATTAGATTACATATTAGGCTATAAGACTGCTAACAATTAAACGGGAAATTTAGAGCTCGTTTGATGACTCCATTTTTTTGACTTGTCAGGCTTATAAGCCAACCTTTTTATCAAACATGTAGCTTTTAATTTCGCGCACTGAAATGAATAATAATAAGAAAAAGTAAGGTTGTAGTCACTTTTTTTTACTGTATTGGCTAAAGTTAATGTAGATGATCATTTTAGTTATTCTTTCATATTCCCTCCGTATTTTTATGTTTGCTACACTTTCCTTTTTGGGATGTATTTAAAAATTTGCTACACTTCCATTTTTGATAAGTTTATCTTTTATAAAATACTCAATTATC